ATAACAATTATGACAAATAGGCAGTTCTTAAGCTAGTTTCCTCAAGATCACCTGTGGGGTTCAAATGCACACATCCTGGCCTCCACCCTCACTGATTCCAATTCAGGGGGCTTGAGGCTAGGTCCAGGAATAAATATCTGGAAAAGCTCCCCATATGATTCTGATACTCACTCCAAGTTAAAAACTGCTGGCCTAAGAGAAGTCACAAGGCTTCAAGGGGGGAAGTTTCAAGCACTCCTTAGGAAAATGACAGCGTCATTTGTGGAATCCTGTTATCTAATTTATACAGTTTGGTTTTATTTTTTCCCCCAAAAGTACATTTACTCTTTTATAAAGCACCAACTGATCTCCTGCCACAAAACACCAAGGCAAGGGGTAGGAGGGCAATTTACTGACAAAGATCTATTATATTGCTAGCTGTGGCATCAGAGGAAAACCTTCTGAAAAGAGGGTGGGTGCCAGGATTTGATTGTTGGAAGAGATGGTTAAAGTCTTTCCTTAAGTTTGTACTCATTACCGAAGTGCCAAAAAGGAAATTCTGAACTGGAGAGAACAAATGCTTAGAGTCAAACATTTTAAATCTTCAAAGCCCAAACCAGGGTCTGTAAGCAATTAAAGTTCTGGGACATTAATATTTTTTGACCCTGCGGAAAGGGGCAATCAAATTCCAATCACGTCTCGAAAACATCTGGACAAATTTGAGCAAATGATTTTTCAGCCTTCCATATATTTCTTTAAATTACGCTGTCAACGGAACAAACCGCGTCCTCGAGCACTAAATAAATGAGCGCCGCTGTTTGGGCCGCGCCTGCGAGAGAAACGTGCGGGCGCACGCAGCGCCGCCCACTGCAGGCCTGAGCCGGCCATAAAACACCAACAATATGACACGGAAGCCAAAGACAGGAGTAAATCAAATAAATAGAAAACCCACTGTAAAAGTTCAAATGAGCTCTAGACCTAAATTTAGCCCGAGATTTACTATTTTCCCCTCTGGAGTTGTAGTAAATTTTACATCTGTGGAAGATGCCAAACAGCAACGTTGGAAAGAAAGTAATTAGGGCTGAGGGTAGAGATGGGCACACGTGGGTGACATATAGACACCCGGAGCAGCACACGTGGCTGTGTGGCTATGACAGGGAGAGGTGAAAGTCTGGCAGGAATATACATTTAGGGATCCAGGGAAGAACTGGAACAAGGAGCCAACCGCCTGCAAAAGATCTGCCTGACATCCCCGGGTTTGGGAAAGAGAACTGTAAAAAGCCTGGAATCAGATTCATAAAGCCATTCTCCACACCACCCACAAAGTTTGAAACAGAGAAGAGGAGACAGACAAACCCACAACCTATAATCAATTCCGCGGAGGCAGGGGAGGGAGAACAGGAACTGCTGGCAATGCAGGGAGGGCTTCCTAGCCAGCAATGGACAGGTTACAAATACTACTTCTGCTACTGAAGAAGTTTGCATTTTGCTCCCCACCGTCTCCTCCCAAGCCTGGTGGGTCAGCAGGGTAGGAGTCAGGGATGAAGACCCAGGGTTTGGGACACTCACTTGGTGGCCAGCAGCATATTCTTTCGGGAGTGCAGGTCACTGGGGTCTGTGTGCTGCCGGTTCAAATACTCAGAAACAGCTTTGGCAGGAAACTCTGTTTCGCAGATGTATCCAAAATCCCGAGCTAAGTGAACAGCTTCTCCTGAAAAGATAGCAGCAGACATTAATCATCAGCACCCAACCCCTAATCATCCCTGAGCAGGAGATACACCCTGGTCAACTCTTGTTATTTACAGAAGAGGCCAGCTGTTGGGAGGCAAAAGCAGAGGTGAGACAGATGCCCTAAGTAAAAATGATTTTCAGGCTGTCAAAGTTAACAAAACAAACTGCTCCCACAGCTCTTTCCAGCCTCTCCCTAATGATCCTAGACACTCCCTGGATACTTCAGGTCTCCCGCACTTCATGCTTTGTCTTGAGGGAAAGGTGGGTCGATATATTCTTGAGACATCTTACACATGCATCTGTCTACACAGTAGGCTGTATATTCAAGCCGGATTTCCCTCTTTTTACACTTGCTTTAAATAAATGTAAAAGTTTTCCTATCTTTTGTGTTATCTTTTGTAATCTCCCTCTATATTAGGAAAAATCTCTTATGAATAACATATATACAAACATAAATAAATCAATATGTGTATATGTCCATATATATTAAAGACTATGTGTAAAATACGTATGGAATGAATATTTCTATCCAGCAATGAAATATTTATTCTCCTTGGCAGTTTCCAGCTAGGTAGGTTTCAGGTTTCTCCTCTTCAGCGGTTCCCGTCATCATCCTCCTACCTAAGGACTTTCTACCGCACAAAGATGACACAGCAGCTGGACATCTGAGAAAGTTCTCAGCTTATGTGGAAGGCCCTCTCAAATAAAGCATTATTACCCTTTAAAGCACAGCCTTAGGGGTTTGAGGGAAGATCCCGAACATGAAAAAAGAAATATGGTGAATTATCTCAGAGCTTCATTATTTTAAGGACCATGTCTTATTTTTAATCAGCATTATTTTAGTAACAACAAAACCCTTCAGACACGATGCTTAACAATGATTCATAAAACTGAAACCTGCCAACCAAATATTGGAATTTCCGTGAGTTTTCCAGTTTCCTCCCTTCTCCACCCAAATCCCTGTCTTGGGCTGAGATTACATTAACTGCTTTTCAAAATGAGGATTGTGATATTAGCAATTCCCTGAAGGGCAAAAAGTAACCCCCTCTCCCCCAAGCTAAAAGTCAACCACTAATAAGTGTGGTCTTGATATTTGGTGAGTGCTGCCCCTGGAGGGTAAGTTTGAGCCTGGCAACTTGCATTGAAGCTTGAAAAGTGCAATCCCTCTAAATGTGATGAATTTATGGTTACTGCTTAAATATTCTAAGGTCCCCTCCTCCAAACACCAACTCCCCACAG